TCATACTTCACAATGTTGTCCATTACAAAGCATAGATTTAAGAAATAATTTAGAAGACACAGAAAAAAATAAACCAGCATATTAATTTTTTTTCTTGCGTTCTAATAAATCTTCTTAAACACTCACTGGGGTAATGAACACTCTACTTTAATCCCACAAGTAAAAGCTTGACAAGAAAAGCCATTAGGAAGTAAGCCAAAGGACTTGCAGCAACGAACCAGAGGCGTCTTCATTCCCCACAGAACAGGCAGCTTGTCTCAAGCTCACACGATGAGAAGTGGATGGGGGCTTTACTACATGCAGTCTCATATAGCTACAGACTCTCATTTCAGGGAACTTCTACCTTCTAGGCCTGCTCTTCACCTGCTTCTGGCCCTCCTTACCTGCCAGCTTGCCTCACACACTCACCAAACCCAAGGTGAATTCTGTTTTAGATCCTTGCATTCAGGCTCAAGGGAAGTCGCTAGGAAACATAAAAGTGACTAAAGAATTGTTGAGAGAATCCATATAAACAACAATATTCAGTAAAACACATTTTCCATTACAATAAGAAATATGGATGTGTGTGCATAAAGATATACACACACACATCCATATATAAAACTGTAGGAAATAATTTTCTACATGAGATTTTTATATAGTTTTTAACACAGAGTCTCATTTAATTGTCATAACAGGTATCTGAGGGAATAATGGTATTATCATCATCCTAATTGTACAGATGAGAGAGAGAAAGCAAACAGCGAGTAGTTTGTCCAGCCAACTACAGGTAGGATTCTACTGCAGGCAATGTGGTTACACAACCCACACTTTTAAAGTACTACGCTTTACTTCACGTTAACAAAGGATGCTTCACGTTCCATTATAGCCAAACTAAAGCAATTCTTTTCAATACAACATTTCATTTCTCAGTATACATTACAAAAAGGACTAAGTGCTGATTGATTCCTTTCTGGTTACTACATTTTGTTCACTGTAAATAACACTTCAATTTGCCTTGTAGTACAAAAGAAGCACTGGTCTGTGAACCACCAGGTCTGCAGTTCAAGCCTGCCAGCCAGTCCACAGGAGAAAGAGGCTTTCTGCTCCCTTGAAGATTTTCAAAAAGCCTTTGGAAACCCTATACTGGGACAGCTATGAGTTAGAACTGACTCAGCAGCCTTTAACAATAATAAATGCTAAATTCATCTAGATTTTTATTCTGTATGTTTAGAATATATAGACTGTATGCAAATGAAATCTGGGTGTGGTACTGTAGGATAAGCACTGGACTGCAAGCTCTGCGATTTAAACCCACCAGCTGCTCCTTGGAAACCCTACACAGGGTGGCTATGAGTCAGAACTGACTCAATGGCACTAAATAACAATTGTTGTTCAGTGCTGCCTAGCTGGTTCCAACTCAGCGATACTCAAAGAGTGGATGTCGAGCTTGAACCACTGACCTTGCTGTTCAAACCAACCAGGCAGTCCAGCACATTTATCTGCAGTGCCACACCCAGCGTGCTTGCAAATAGGTGGCTTAGAAGAATCAACAAAAGCGGGCTGTTTTTCACAAGGCAGAATAGCTAGGATATATGTGCACACAGCTGCTTATAATAGTGCTTTAAAAACTTGCACACACCAAATCTTTTTAAAAAGACCTTATCAAAGCTTTAAATTTAATTAATCATCTAATCAGGAGATTAAGTATACCATTTGTTAAGAGAAGACAACTTTCCAGGAATTTTAAAATTTCATTTAATCATTTAAAATTTAAAAATTTTAAATCAGTTTGTGATAGGAGGGCAGATAATAAAACCAAGATGTCTAATACATCCTTATTGCTATAATGACAAAAATTCTCTCTAAAGTTGGTCTGACCACAGACCTTTGCTCTACTGTTATTGTTGTTGTTGTTATGTGCCGTGGAATCTGTTCCAACTCATAGCCACCCTGTACAGGGTTTCCGAGGCTGTAAATCTTTACAGGAGCAGAAAGCCTCATCTTTCTCCCGCGGAACAGCTGGCAGTTTCGAACTGCTGACCTTGAGGTTGGCAACCCAACCCGTAACCACTATGCTACCAGAGCTCCTTACTACTCCTATATTAAAGTTTATTCTCTTTTGTCTTAGGCCATACAAGACGTAAGACCTTCCCCTCTTCTTTGCAACCATCTTCTTCATTTTCTTAAGTCCTTAATTACTTGACCTCTGTGCACAATCATTTTGCTCTTTTTCTCAATAAAACTTGAAAACTTACTACAGTGATTCTCAACCCTGATTTACATTATGTGCGGAGCTTTAAAAACAAGCAAAAGTACTGTGGTCTAAAGTTGACCCCAGACAATTAAATCAATCTATGGAGAAGGTTTCCAAGCACTGCCCTTTTTATTTAAACTCCACAGACAATTTTAATGTGTACTCAAGATTGAGAAAGACAACATCAGTAGCACAAGTTCCTTAATAAGACACATGTAAATCCCTTATTCCAATCTCTACCCAGTACATCATAAGCCTCTGACACCAAACTGCTGTCAGCTTACTACAAGACCCTATGCTCTTACTATCTCCTCTGTTGGTGCTCTCCACCCACCCACTACTTCCTTACCTGCCTAATTAATGCCTCCTAGGAGCCCTGGTGTGGTGCTGTAGGATAATCACAAGGAACACTGGTGGCAGTGTAGGTTAGACATTGGGTTGGTAACTGCAAAGTCAGGGGTTAAAACCCACCAGCCTCTCTGAGGAAGATGAGGCTGTCTTCTCCTGCAAAGATTTATAGTCTCAATAACCCAATATATGATCACTATTAAAGCTCTAGTAGTGTAGTGGTTATGAATCGGGCTGCCAACCTCAAGGTCAGCAGTTCGAAACTACCAGCGGTTCTGTGGGAGAAAGATGAGGCGTTCTGCTCCTGTAACGATTTACAGCCTTGGAAACCCTGTGCAGGGTCACAATGAGTTGGAGCCGACTCCATGGTACTTAACAACAATAGCAACATTAAGCAACTCAGTGACAACAGAGCTTGGTTTTCAGTTAAGAGCCCTGGGGATGCTGTGGCTAAGGCATTGGGATGCTGTCCACAAAGTGAACTCTGAAATCTGCAGCCGTTCTGCGAGAGAAAGATGAAGCTCTCTGGTCAGGTAAAGAGTGTCTTGTAAACCCTACATAGGGTTGCTATGAGATGGTGGTGGATTTGATTTGGTTTTGGTATATTTTCAAGGTTATGCTCCAGGACCACCCCTCTAAGGAAAATTTTCTCATTACCCTTCACTGGCACCTAGAGAAAATAAATTACCCCTGTTCTGTGTGTTGGTGGTGGTTGTACGCCACCAAGTCAGTTCTGACTCCTAACAACTCTGTACAGGGTTTCCAAAACTGCAAATCTCTAGTGGGGCAGAAAGCTTCATCTTTCTCCCACGAAGCACCTGGTAGATTCAATCTGCTGACCTTGGATTAGCAGCCCAGCTAGTAATCCTCTGTAAGACCAGGGCTCCTTATCCCTCCTCTGTACTCCCCTAATAATCACACTATTACCTATTTACATGTCTGTCCCTCCCTTCAATTATGAGTTCACTGAAAAGACCAATGCCTTATTTATCTTTGTAACTCCAGAGATATGCCTATCACAAAACAAACACCAAATGTTTGCTGAATTAACAAGTCATAGTGTGGCACTGTAGGATCAACACTGGACTGTGGACCACCAGTTTGGAGCTTCAAATCCACCAGCAATTCTTTAAAAACCCAATACAGGGTCACTATGAGTCTGAAAGGAGCTCTGGTAGCATAGTGGTTACGAATCAGGCTGCGAACCTCAAGGTCAGCAGTTCGAAACTACCAACTGTTCCACAGGAGAAAGATGAGGCTTTCTGCTCCCGTAAAGATTTACAGCCTAGGAAACCCTATATACAAGGTCACTATGAGTCGGTACCAACTCCACAGCCCATAACCACCAACTACCACCATGAGTCTGAACCTACTAACTGGCACTTATAACAATAACAAAGTCTTCAAGAATATGCCACCTGCCGGTTTCTCTTGTATCTAAGCTTCATTCCCCAACTGTAGCTACCTTAGAGTCTTTTGTTTCCTCTGTTACCAGCAATGACCATATTCTAACATTTCCAGCTATGAAAATTCTATTCTAGGTGCAAATCAGCAGCTTCCTACTACACAGGTAGAGTGACAGTTTCCTAGGGCGGTTTAGCTCTGACCTTCCCTTGGCACTGACACAACCTGGCTCACATTGCAGTTACATTACCACTTTACTAGAAAGGCGAGTCACAGACTAGGTAGAATATATTTATATCCCTTTCAGGTCCCATTAAAACGAGTAGCATGTTGTTGTTGTTGTTAAGTGCTATCGAGTCAATTCTGACCCACAGCGACCCTGTATAGGGTTTCCAAGGAGTGACTAATGAGTTTGAACTACCAACCTTCGCATTAACCCACAGCGCCACACCAGGGCTCCAAACTGAGTAGAGCACAGCAGATGTTAAATAAATTCTTGTTGCATATTTTTTTTAAAGTTCTATCCCACATGTTTAGGAATAACTACCAACAAATAATATACCTGCAAATGTTCAAACTAGGTGCAATGAAAAATCCCTGGTGTTACATTATTGCATTATTAGTAAAAGTCTAAGAAAACATAAGAAGAATGCAATTGCATCCAAACTATGATGATAAATGCTGTAGACTTCATGAGGTTAAATGATACCTGGTCAAAAAGTTGCTTGCCAGTCGTATTGGGCTGAATAGCAAATTCTAGCTCAGCATCCATTGTAGTTACTCTGACGTTGATCTACAATAAAAACAAAAGGGATTATCTGTAGGAAACAGAATGTTCTTATTAAGCATGAGAAAATATTTTCATTTTATATATGAAACAGTGATACAATATGCAAACAGTAAAAAGCTACTCCAAAATCCTATCTAATATATATATGTTTTATTTAGTAAGATAAGATGATGACATCAAGTATCAAAGCTATCCTCTCTGTTCACAGGGAAGATAGGGATGGGCAACTTAGACACTGGCTACTTAGGATGAGGGGACGATAAAGGCACAAGGATTCAAGGGGGAGTTTAGCCTAAGAGTGCATAGGAGAAGAAAGAGTCCCCACTGAATAGTTTCATCTTATGTAGATGGGTCTTGTTAAAAGAGATGGTGGTAAAATTCTCATGATTCAATAGTAATTGTTATCATGACAAATTGTGACTGTCACAAGTGTAAAGAAGGTAGAAGTTTTGTAACAAAAATGGGGAAGTGGTTAATCTTACAGTCCAGAAACAGAGGACCCTAGGACCATCAAGGGAGAGGAGCACAAGCAAAATGCAAGACCTTATCCAGAGAACAGCTACACCAGAGATGGAGGCAGAGATGAGGGCATGGAGAGGAGAAGCAGCTGAGGACTCTAGATTCATGGGAAGAGAGGAACCAAGGGATGGTGGCCAGGAGGGAGACTTGGAGAATGTGCCCTTTGGTGGTGCAAATTGTTTTATATGCCTGAGTGTTTAAAAAAAAAAAGAGTTAAAGTGAATAGAGAGAAACACTGTTAACTGATGGTACATGAAGGGAATTATAATCATTGTGATGAAACAAAGTATATAAATTGTTGAATGTAAAACTGATGATCTGCCCTGTAAACTTACACTCATTCCATAATAAAAACCTTAAAAAAAAAAAAAAAAGATAGGATGATGAAGTTTGAAGTTTGATTTTAATCATATGAAATCTTAAAGCTATTTGAAAAAAAAAAGCTTATGGAGTTCTGTCTTTAAAAAATATCTACTGACTACATAACACATACTAGACCTAGGCCACAGGCATTCCCTAGTCTTTTAGCCCTTAAAACAATATTAGGAGATGTTATGTCCTTTCCTACAGAGTTTCCATTACTTGTCAAAGGACACATGACTATCAAACAATAAAGCAGGTATGTAAACTGAGCTCCAATTCCAAATTCCTTGAATTTCATTCACTAGACCCTATTTCCTTCAACACAAAAATCATGTGTTTCATTCATACTGAAAGATATTCTTCACTTTAACAAAAAACATCCAATTATCGTCATTATTTGCTTAATGTTTTAAATAATAATTTTCCCGTGTGAATACTTTCCTAGTTGGATCTCTTACCATAAACTTAACATATCTTAACTGAAATAATTTCTACTCTAGCATCATCACCTAGATTTCACCATGATGTGGTTCAAATATTTTAAACTTTAGACTTGATTCCCCCATATATACCTTATTCATTCTAAAAACTATAATCTCTATACATGTTGTAGGTTCTACCTGAATACCCTAATCAAGGGGGAAAAAAAGTGTTTATAATTTCCTCCATGTTAATCATTTGTTAGGCATTTCTTCCCTAGACCGTGGCTTTGCAGGTATTGTTATGTTGAGTTCCACAGACCCTAACCCACAATTTTTACATTCTAAGAGCATTTACAACTGAACTTTATTTGTAAATGTCCAGCAAAACCTTGATATGAAGTAATGAGTGATGTGAAGCTATATGGTGAATTTATCCTACTTCATAATGAATGCTCACATATTAATCTACACATATATTAACGGTTTTGAGGTGATGCTCCAGGTGCATGATATAATGGCATATGTAAATACTTTTTTGTATATTCAAGGTCCCTAGGTGTTGCAAAGAGGATCCCTGGTGATGCAGCATTTAAGGCACTCAGTGGTTCAAACTCATCAGATTTTCTGTGGGATAAAAGATGTGGCAGTGTTTCTATAATGATTTATAGCCTTGGAAACTGTATGGGACGGTTCTATTCTGTCCTTTAGAGTCACTGAGTCAAAACTGACTAGCAAGCAATGGGTTTGGTTTTGGTATGTTATTGGTTAAGTGCCATGGAGTTAGTTCCAACTAACTCATAGCCTCAGAAACTCTATACAGGGTCACTATGAGTCAGAACCAATTTGACAGCACTTAAAAACAACAAAATCCAAAAAATTCTTAATTGTGAAACTCACCTAGCCTTGGTGGTGGTGGTTGTTATGTGCCATGGAGTCTAATTCAACTCATAGCGACTGTGTATAGTTTCCAGAGGAAAGATGTGTGCCAGAATTGTATTCTTTCAACATACTTATTCAATCTATGCACTGTGCAAATAATCTGAGAAACTGAATTATATGTAAAAGAACGTGATATCAGGATTGAAGGAAGGCTCATTAACCTGCAATATGTAGATGATCCAATCTTACTTGCTTAAAACAAAGAAAACTTGAATTGGTAAAGATCAAAACACAGTCTTCAGTATGGAATGCACCTCACTGTAAAGAAAACAAAAATCCTCACAACAGCACCAAGAGAAAACATTATTATAAATGGAGAAAAGATTGAAGTTATCAAGGATTTCATTTTACTTGGAATCCTTGGAAGGGTAGTCAAAAAACAAAGTATGTATTTACTGCATTGGGCAAATCTGCTGAAAAGCACCTCTCTTTTAAAGGAGTCCTGATGTGGTGCTGTAGGATAAACACTGGGAAGAACTGTGAGGATGGTGTAGGACCAACACGATGTTTCGTTCTGTTGTACAGAATCAGTCAATTCAATGGCACCTACCAACAAGAGTAAAAACCTAAGTTGCTTTGAAGAAACTATTGATAAAATTATGAACGTAAAGGCAATTTTGGGGAGGGCTCAGAAGAAAGTGAGGAGAGCTACCAAGAAAGTCTCTATTGTCTAAAAATAAACATAATGCCACCAATAGAACATTGCTAGAAATATGGACATTAAACGTGCTTCTGGTGAGGTTTTAAAGGGAAATGATGCACCATGCCCTACTGGGATCTATTCCAGGAATGTACGAATGGTTCTACATTAAAATATTAATCGCCACATTAATAGAACAAAGGAAGAGAACCACACAATCATCTCTATGATTGCAGAAAAAGCACATAAGAGTTAGGAATAGGAGGATATGGAGCGTGGCTAATTGCCTTCATAAACAATGGCCTCCTTTGCCATGAGACTAGAAATATATATGGTGCCTGGATACCATTACTGAACATAATGATCAAAAATTTTATAAAAGAATTTGATCAAAAGGAGAAAAATGCAGAACAGAATTTCAAATTCTCATGGATTCTAAGTTTTCAGGATCATGGAGGTTAAATGAACCCTTGAAATTATTACCAAGATAATCTTTAAACCTTAAACCAAAAATATCTACTAGTCTTTTTAAAGCTGAACAATGGTAAAATAAAAAAAAAAGGTCTGCCTTGAGCATGATGCTTTTTAAAGCACTATCTATAAAGGATCAAATTTATAATAGCAACTTGAAAGATTACATAAGAACCTCAAGGGGCAGTAAAAGAGTGTATGTATTGATGGAGGCGCAATTCAGAAAAGTGACAATGGTTGCACACAAATGTAATCAGTGTCACTAAACACTACATGAAGAAAACGATTGGTGTCTTGCTGTGCATATTAGCAGCAATAAAATTAATAAATTTTAAAGAGAATGATTTTTTAATTCAAATGGAAACAAAACATACAGGCTTGGAAAATTATAATTTTTATCAAGGCTGTGGCTAACAATACGATTAAACCTGTCCCACAGCACAAAACTCATCAGTTTAGACTGAAGAAGTCAGAGACAGAACAAAAGAAAAGAAAACTGTCTACCTCTAGGGATTCTACAAGCAGCAACAAGCCAAAGGAACTACATTTGTTGTTTTCGGAGAAAAGAAAAAGACAACCCCTGCAGCAGATCCGACATCAGTGCAACTGTTGAACGGGAGCATGGGAAGTAACACCTTCTGGGTTTTGGGGGAGGGTGCCATGGTCTCCCTAGATCAGAAAGAGTGGGACCACAGTTTCCTAGATTTCAAAGACTTGAATCTTTGCTGGATCTTAGCCAACTCAGTTTTGGAGTACGGGGCTGCTGTTAAAGTATACCAGGGAGATGGGGTTGCTGCCCAAAGCTGAGGGGGTAGACCTACTAGAACCACTCAAGTGGACTAGAAAAATGAATCCACCCAGAGTAGAGGAAGCATTGTTACCATCTCAGTGAGCATAGAAGGCAAAGCAGATATCCAGAGTCAAGGGCCTTCCAAGAAAAACTTAGAGATGGTAGCCAACACCCAAAATCTGGAGGGGAGTACCAGTAACCAGAAGGTCTCAAACAACAGAGGATTTTTTTTCAAGGCTTGACGTCCTACATTACAGGGTTTTATGCTTACTTTGTGTCCCTTCTTTCCCTCTAATTTCCCCCATCTGTAATGGAAATGTCTACTTGGTATCTGTCCCACAACTGTACTTTGGAACCAGGTCATCTGGAATCTAGATTTCACAGGCTCACAGATAAAGACAAACTTTAAACCAGGATGGACTATACCTACAATCTCCCCATATTTTGGAATGACATGATGTGGGTGAATATATTTTATATATAGCAAAGACATGAATTTGGGGTGGGAGGCAAAAGATGGAATGTACAGATTGAATTATGTCCCTGCAAAATGTGTTATAAATCCTAAAATCAATGCCTGTGGTTATAATCCCATTTAGGAGTGAATTGTCTTTTATGTTAATTAGATTGGATTAGCATAGATGCGTCTTAAATCAATCTCTTCTGAGGTATAAAAGAGATTAAGCAAGCAAGGGAAGAAGCAGATAGGAAGAGATAAACCAAGTCATGTGAAGACTGCTCAGGAGCTCAAGCTCAAAGAGACAAGGGCCTTCATCAGAGCCCCACAGAGAAAGCCTTCCCCTAGAGTTGGTACCCTGCTTGCAAACTTTCAGTCTCCTAAAGTTGTTCACTAAAGCCATCCATTTGTTGTTGTTGTTGTTGTTAAGTGCCGTCGAGTCGGTTCCGACCCATAGCGACCCTGTACAGGGTTTCCGAGGGTGTAGTCTCTGTGTTATAGCAGCACTAGAGAACTAACATACCTACTAAGTATGCTGGGCCAGCAGAAGATATATGGCAAGTATGGAAACCAAATTAAATTTCTCGTAGCTTTGTATTTTGGCAAAATGGACTTTAATTTTATTACTAAAATAAATTATTTTTAAATGCATTTCTTTTATTTACTAATGGGGTGGGGCTAGAGCACAGTGGCTCTGAAGGGTAAGTACTGGAATACTTATCCTACATCTACTAAGTGGCGTCAATAGAATGTGTAAAATATGGAAAATCAACTTAAATTTCTCTAAGCTACGTGTTTTGTGAAAATGGTCTTATTATCTGTTATTACTAAAATAATTTTTAAATTATTTTGTTAATGGAGTAGCTAATTACATCTTCAGGAGTGTGGTAGCTCTGAAGAATATGTACTGGACTGTGAACCACAAGGTTGATGGTTGGAGCCCACCAGCCACTCTGTGAGAGAAAGATGAGGCTTTCAACTCCTGCAAAGATTTACAGTTTCGGAAACCCTATCTATGAGTCGGGACTTAACAACAGCAGCAGCAATTAGATCCTGCTCTAAAAAGCCTAAGGTGGAAAAATGAAACCATATCGCTGACTATAAACACCTTAAAATATTTTCTTCTAGAATGTGTAATGCATTAGCAACAAGTATAATAGATATCCAATTATACATAGTTTTGAATTCTCATTCTAAGGAACAGTAAATAAATGCTTGCCATGCAATTTTATGGGTAAACCCTTTCCCACAGCATCTGTAAACTTTCATATTCCTATCAGTAATATATTACAGTTCCAGTTGTTCTACATTCTTACTTATTATCTTACTGACACTGACATTTATCAATCCTACTTACTAACACTACCCATCTTTTAAATTTTGACCTTACAGGGTATATATAATGGTATCTCACTGTAGTTTAAATTTCTATTTCCCTGAGGACTAAAGACATTAGGATCTTTTGAGTGTTCACCAGCTACTACATACTTCTTTTATGAAATATCTGTTTAAAGTTTGTTTCTGTCCAGTTTTAAAACTGGGTTGTTGTATTGACTTGTAAGAGAATTTTATATTGCAGTAATTTTTATTTTCTCATGGCTGTCTTTCAAAGAGCACAAGTTCTTAATTTTGGTGTGGTCTACATTTGTCTTTAATGTTTCAAACTTTGTGTACACTAAGAAATCTTTGCCTACTCCCCAAGGCTGCAAATTGTTTTCTAATGTTCTCTTCTAAAAGGTTTACAATTTGAACTTTTACATTTAGGGCTCTCATCCATTTAGAGTTAATTTTTGTATAAATTGTGAGAAAGGGGTCAATGTTCATGTTCAATATGATAACCCAGTGTTGCAAACCATTTTGTTAAAGAATTTAATTTCCACATACCACTTCATGCCTCTCTTGAACAAAAATCTAATGAACATGTGGTGTGTGTGTGTGTGTGTGTGTGTGTGTGTGTGTATAGGGGTATTTATGTTCCATTAATCATTTTATCTATTCTTCCCCAGATACCACACTGTCTGTGTTATACTTGCAACTTCATATTAAGTCTTTAAATCCAGGGGCATAGGTTCTCCAACTTTCTTCTCTTAAAATACTGCCTTAGCTATAAATTTTAACATTTCCATGTGTATGTTAGAACATCTAGGTCACTTTTAATCAAATAAGTCAGTTGATTTAACTAATTGAGATTGCATTAAATCTAGCTATAAAAATGGAGAAGACTGATATTTTATATTCAATTGCCAATCTATAAACACTATTATTTTCCCAAGTATTTAAGTCTTTAATATCTCACACCAAGTTTTCAGTTTAAGGATCTTAAACAGCTTCTGAAAATTTATGAAGCATATTATATGTTATGTTTTTAGGAGTCCTGGTATGGCACTGTGTGCTAATGTGTCAGACTGCAAAGCCGTTTGAACTGCAAGGTCAGTAGTTCAAGCTCACCAGCTGTTCCTTGGAAACCCTATACAGAATCAATATGGGTCGGAATTGACTCGACGGCACTTAACAACAACAACAACAACAAATTATGTATTTTAATTTTATCATAAGTGGAATTTTTTTGAAGTTTTGCTGCTATAAAATACAATTAATTTTTTTATATAACCTGTACCCAGCAATCTTGCTAAAATCAGGTATTAGTTCTATTAACTATTCCATAGATCTGTGAGGATTTTAAAACATAATTACTCATGTGCAAATGGAAATTTTTACTTTAATATTTCTGTCTTTTACTTCATTTTACTCTTTACTCCCTCTCACAATGTATACTTTTTACCAGCTAAATATTTAAAGTAAATCCAAAGTGATATCCATGCCAAAAATCATCAATAACTAAAGTCAACAAGTTTTCTTCAAAGAGGTTATTGGCCAAAAGAGACATTATTGAAAAAAAAATACATTTGTTAGATGAAAAAACAAAGAACATTTATCCTCAAGACAACAGAAGTAAATTTTAATTAAGGTGAACCACATAATTACAAAACTAAGTAAAATGATAAAAAATACATTATTTGGAAAAAACGTATGACTATATAGTATCAGCATATATATTACTAGCATCTACACTAAAACGGGCTGCTAATCTCACACTCAGCAGTTCAAAACTATCACCTGTTCCGCGGGAGAAAAATGAGGCTTTCTGCTCTCGTAAAGATTTGCAGCCTTGCTGTGCCAGTGTGGGGCATGTGTTGCCTTATGAAGCAGTGAGGCTTACACATCACACAGGGGGTGTGTGTTGTACCATGTTAATGAGACTGAGGCTCTCTTCTCTCCTGAAGAATGGAATCATCAATGATGGGTTTGGGTTGGTGATTGTTAAGAAAACACATTTTATACTATTACGTAATAGCAATCAGTTCTGAATCTTCAAAAAAAAAAGATTTGCAGCCTCAGAAACCCTGTACAGGGTCGCTATGAGTTGGTTCTGACTCCATGGTACATAACAACAACAACAAACTACAACTATGTGAAACTTTAGAAACCAGTAATCCTCTTGACTTCTCATTCATTCCTTCCACTTAACAAAAACAGTTACCATTTACTAAGCATGAAATGTTCATCTAATCATTGCCATATGACCTTGAGTAAGGAACTAATTCTTATTCCTACTTCACACAGGAGAAATTAAGAACTGGAGAAAATGAAGTCAGTTAACAAAGGTCACTAGATTACATAAACGGCAGCAGAACCAAAGCAATGACTAAAACAGTCTGACCCCAGACTCCATGACTACATGTTATCTACATATCATTTTTACTGGCCCACCATATCCGGTTTTCTAGCCACATTAGTTTAAAACAAAATTTAGAGTTTTTATATTCCAACACCTCTACCATACTACATATTTTTCTTACCATAATATTTTGTCTTGTTCCAAAAAGAACTTTGTTGTTACTGTGTGCCATCGAGTCGATTCCGACTCATAGCAACTCTATAGGAAAGAGTGAAACTTCCCATAGGGTTTCCTAGACTGTAAACTTTATGGAGGAGTCCTGGTGTGGTGTGGAATAAGCACTGGACTGCTAACTGAAAGGTCAGCGGTTCAAACCCACCAGCTGCTCCTTGGAAACCTTATACAGGGTTGTAATGAGTCAGAATTGACTCGACAGCACTTAACAACAAACTTTACAGGAGCAGACTGTCATGTTTTCAACTGGGGAGCAGCTGGTGGGTTTGAACTGTCAACCTTTCTATTAGCAGCCTAGCGTTTAACAACTACACCACTTAACTCAAAACTATTGATATTATATGATGTACTGTCAAAAGGACTGAAATACACTTACTGGTTTCGGCATCTTGCTTCTCTTTCTGTTACCTTCTTTAAAACTTCTTCACTTTTATGAATTCTTCTGTCACCTTCTGTTAAAGGGGCAAAAAAGCATAATTGGTCTACTACTGTTACATAAGGGTGTTCTTTTAACTATAATTTGTATAGTTTAATTGCATAATTGTACATAATAATGTAAGATTAATACATTTTTAAATGTAGCATTAAAAGTAATACGGAGCACTCATTTTATCCTACTTCTCAAGGTCCAATCATTTTCCTTAAGAAGATTAAAATCTCAAATAACACAGTGTTAAGGTACATTGATTACCTACTAAAAGGTTTAATATATTATAAATAACATGTAATAAGGACACAGACTAAGTACTCAAATGTCGTCTCCCTCAATTTGAGTTAGGTTCATCCTTATACCCAGCCTATACAAAGAGGGACAGTAAAACTAAGAATAGATTCATTCAGATTCTAAAAGCGCTAACCTCAGGAATGCAAGCAGTATTATTTTTCTGCGCTGCCAAAGACAAAAGGACATTTTCATTAAAGAAACTATAAAGAGATAAATAATTTTCAAAGTATTTTTTTTCTTGACAGTCTGAAAATTCATATATGAAAAAAAATAAAAGGTTAATCACCTCAAGTGTATCAAACAGACATAGTTCTGTACATGGGAACCCTGCTCCTCACCTGAAAACTACTGACCTTCACTGATCAATTCAGAATTGTCCTTAGACCAATGTTAAATTCTACCTTCTCCACCAAGAAAATGGAAGTAAATCTTAGTCCAAGAGAGTTGTCATACTGTTTGGGGATAAAAATTCTTAGAAAACACCTGACAAAATTGCAGTGCTTTCTTACAAACCAATCAAAACATCTAAAACTCTTAATCATTATTTGTCCAGAAGAAATGACTAACATTCCTATTTGAAAACCTAGTGAAAAATTACAGTTCTCTGATAAGCAGTTATCTAGGCATTACCCTGACAAGCAGCTTTGTTCATTATAGTTGCTGTTGTTGTTGTTGTTGGTTGGTTGTTATGTGCCGTGGAGTCGGTTCTGACTCATAGCGACCCTGTACAGGGTTTCCAAGGCTGTAAATCTTTACGGGAGCAGAAAGCCTCATCTT